CATTTGCTGGCTATTCTGCCAACGGCAACCTTCGTTTACCTAGTGCCCTCAACACTCACCGTGTTCACGGCCCCTGGCAGTTATCAGAGCGCGCCGGACTTGGGACGATTTATCGTCCGGATCACCGGCGATTTCGCCCAAGGGCTTTAGGCTTGATAAGCGGCCCAAGCACCAGCCATGTTGGAGCAACCGGTGCTCAGGCGCGATCCGAGCAACGGCGAGGGTGCGTTGACGAAGGTGGTAGCCGGAGGACGTTCAGCGGGAAGATTGGCCGGGTGGCCGGCGATTTCGCCCTACCCGGACGATTTATCGTCGAGACTCGATTTCGCCTGTACCAGCGCAGAAACCGCCAGCCCACCTCTCCGCCCTTGATCTTACACCAGAGCCTGCGGCTGGCGTGTGCATCTGTCATCACGTGTCAGGGTGCGGGCCGGACACTGGCCCGTCCACTGACCCGGAATCTGGCTATGTGTAGACGAGGTTGGTGCACAACTCGGAGCAGAAGTGGGGGGTTTCTTGTTAGCCAGCAGAAGATGTATTTGCTAGAGCAATAGATTGGCTGAATCAGACCAAGGGCGAGCCCATAAGGAAACATAATAGATGATAAGCAGTGGCATGCTTATCTGGATCGGGCCTGGGGCCGTGACAATTTATGACCTTATGTAAGTCGACGAAAATCACCTGATCCCGGCGAAAATTTCCTCATCAATTAGATCTATTTAATGTTTTCCGGTCTTTAAAATCCAGGTCAAAAAATGTATTGGAATATTTGAAATTTTCCAGGCCAAAAAACTTATCAAAAAGTCTAATATTTTCCATGTCAGAAAACTCATTCTACTATTCAAAGTGTTTGATTATGTCTGTCAGGCCTTAAAATCAGTCAATAAACTAAACTTTTTCCACTAGAAAAAATTTGTTCCAATAGTTTACCTTTTACAATACATTTTACCCCACTCTTAAAACTAGTATGAAATCTCAATTTTTTTAAATTAATTTGTAGCTAAGAAATATTTTTAACAATACTTCGCATTTGTCAGAGCAAAAAAACAATTTGTAAACTTTAGACTATCCAATAATTTTTTCCCCTTTGAAAACTTGACCTTTTTGGTCCAGTTTGTATGATAAAAACATTTGTTAAAAAGCTTTGCCTCTTCCCACTAACGTTTCTGCCCCCAACATTTTTGAAACGCGGCTGTGAATCAGAGACTGCGACGCAGTCACAAGTCACTTGTGACCCTCTTACCGAGTGACGGCCATGTGGCTTGCAGGGGCAGTCAAAAACAGTGAGTCCCTGCCTTCCTGTAGATAAAGGCACGGGCTGATTTGGCTCTAAAGGCTTATTTCATCTGTGCTCTTCGACGAGCAGGTACCTTCTCCTGTGTTACTATGATTGGGATCCTTCCAGAGCATTCACGGACCTTTGTGCTTATCTCAAGATCGACAACGACTTCGACGAGACCGAGTTTGTGCTTCGAGCGAGTCGAGCCATACCTAGCCAACCCCAAGCATATGTCTGCTCTCTACCCCCCGAACTACTTGCGGAAATATTCCTCGAGGCCTGTAGCGCGCAATCGCTGGAGCTCCCATTCTACGTCCGTCAAACCCGCCACCATCATCCGCCGTGGGCTCAGACACGTTTCCGCATCAGCCAGGTGTGCGTCTATTGGCGACAAGTAGCCGTCAGCATCCCATCGCTGTGGTCGGAGGTCGACTTCTTCTGCGACAAATCAACGAAGCTATGTCTGCGCCGTGCAGGGACCGCTCCCTTGAGGGTTGCCTCCGCCTTGCCTTCAAGTTCTTACGATTACCCAGGCCCCGGGTATCAGGTCCTCCTTGAAGCACGTATATGCGCGGTACTGCAGCTCGCCAAGGGACATATTCGGGATGTGGAATTCCCTTATGACGGGAGAAAATATTCACGAATTGCTGCGATGCTACAGAAGGGACTTCCGATGGTGACGAAGATGAATTTACACCTCGATATGCCAGTTGATTCACTGCGGTCTGAGATGCAGCCGCTCTACCCCAGACTTCACACCTTGAATATCGGGCATAATAACCTCAACTATTTGGTTTACGGCTACTTCACAGGATGTCCTCTCCGCTCGCTGACAGTTGAGATCTCCTGGCACCAATGGCCCCTATACGCCCACCTCCTCAACTTCTTCGCCAGCTCTTCTTGCATAGGTCTCGAAAGCCTGTCAATTCACGGCAATCATCCTCTTTGGCATATCGAACAACTGTTGGCCTCGCCACTTGGGCTGACGCTACCCATTCCTCTTCCGCAACTTCTCTCGATGCACATCACCAACTTGAACTGGGCGACAGGCAACGGAGCACCCCCGAATCCGATTCGGTCGTTCCTTAGCGTCTTTTCGCTGCCCGGTCTCGTACGATGTAACATCGAATTTGAGACCCATGTCGGACGAAAGGCGGTCTCCTGCATCGATTCCGTTCTGGCACTCTACTTTGCTCCATCGCTCAGTGAAGGAGTCCCTACGAGTCTCTACCTCGCTGGTTGCGCTGCTGATCCAGACTACGCCGTCCGTGGTTGCGTCACCGTGGTGGGTGGCTTCCACTTCTATCACCAATCTGGGCAGCGTGAGCTTGTCTTCTCTCAGCCGATTATCGTGCGGACACTCGATTCAGCGGCTGGCGACGGCAGAGTTGACCCCGCCGCACTGCTCCCCGGCCATCCTGCATTCGGCGACATGGACGTCGACACGCTCGCGCGTGTATGGAATGCGCTGGATACACTAGAAGTCGACTGGGATATTTCGGGGGAGGAGGAAAGGGCCGTCTGGCATGCGACCCTGCAGCCGCAATGTACTGCGAGTTTGCGGTGGATAAGGCTGGAGGGCGGGGTGGCGGCACAACCAGAGGCCGTGGCGCGGTGGGCAGCACTGATCTCGAGCATTGGAAGGCGGGAGATAACTCTTCTTGCCCGTGATCAAGCATAAAACGGCGAGCATTCGACCTGTGTGGAGGGAGGACAACGGTCCGCTGGCTCGCGCATCCAGTTTCTTGACAGATTATCACTTGTACCATTAATTGCATCTTGAAATGAAAGTAAATTGTGTTGCATTGACTATTGGGCATTGCTTCTCTTTCGGAGTTTGGAGGTACTTAACGAGGTGGCGACGGCCCGAGGGAGCCTGAAAAGATTAAATGATTTGTGCAGTGTCGGGGAGATTTCGCTGGGATATCGCCATCGTGAGACGTGGAGCATGTTCTGGCAGCTTGGTGAGGCGACGGGATCGACGGGAGGAAGGGAAATCTTACTATCCAGGCGGTGGCTAGGGGGCAAAGACGCGATAGGCGTGTCAACCCGACCTTCGGTGTTTGTGCCTGGCTACGTTTTTGCCTTGAAGCGAAATGAGATTGCGGGTTTCCGCGGGTAGGCTACTCCCTTCTACTTATAGTTAAGACCAATAGCATCCTTCATGTCCGCCAAGCGTCTAAGCCTAAAGCCAACGTCGGGGTCGGGGTCGGGGGATGAGCGTATGAATGTGGATGGAAGGCCAAACACCCCGCACCGCATGGACAACGACTTTCGCCACCGGGGGACTGGAAAACGCTGGACATCGATGCGAAAAAGAAAAGAAGCGTGTGACGTAATGACGCCACGTCACCGCCCGGCTTGATCTCGACGACCATCTCTCCCTCATTCCCGCGCGCGGCCATGGCTGGAGTGCTGCGGCGACGCGCGTGGTCCATCTCGACGGTACCTGGGCCGTATTCAGTCCGTCTGGCAGGGTTTCAGCGGACTGGACTCCCCTTTGGGCGGCATCCGTCTAGGCGAGGCTTTTGAATCATTGATTATGACGCGCAGTCTGCGTATGCCGCGCCTGGAATGCAGCTCTAGTTGTATTCCCCCCATCGCCCTCGAGCCCGGTGTGTCCGCCCAGCCATTCCGCGTGTCGCAGGCCGTTTTCTTCTTGGCTCGGTGAGTGTCCTTCAGGCACCCGCTCAAGGGCTGACTCGACGCAGTTATAGCTCATTCCCACCCGGATCTGCCTTCCGGTAATCAAGCACGCGAAGCGGGGTAAGTACACCGATATTAACATATTAGAGGCGTTGAATGTGAATCAATACAGTATCTTATCACTAATTAACGCCCGTTCCAGTGGGCTCTGCGACGGAGGTGCTTGGGCTTGCGCTGGAATGCCCGTCAGAACGCGTATTTGGGGAGGAAGGAGGGGGAGGGCTCACGTCCAGGTGACAACCTTGGTTGCCTTCGCAAAAAAGGGCGGCTGTTCGATGAGGGTGTTGAAGACGCGCGTCGCGGTGAAAACGGGTGCGTCTGCGGCAGCCTGCTTGCGCTTGTGAGAAGAACTAACAAAACGCATACTAGCAATGCACGAACCGCGGAGGCCACAAACGTAAAAGCCAAAAGGGCGGCAGCGAGTTTGGACAACATAGTGGGTGATAGGTTGGGGAGCAGCAGCGATGCGTCCTCTTCGGCAGGCGGGGCTTATAACCTCTCAAGCTTTTTGACTCCGCACCGATTTCGCGCATCACCCCTTTGATTAACCTCCACAAATCCGAAACTCTCCTGACTGTCAAACACAAGTCGGACAGACCGGGACAGCCGCCGACGGTCGTGCGACCCATCTGCGAGCCATCAACGCACAAATGGCGCTGCATCAATGCGCTGTATGTTGCCATTTTGGGCAATAGTGCGCGTTGGCGTCGGAGATTGACCCGCAGGAATTGAACCACCATCCGTCAAACTGCTGATTGATGCGATGCGGCATGAGTCGTTGGCAGCCCGGCTGTGGCGACGCTGTTAGTCTAAATCGTATGCGGATCCGGGCCCTGCTATGTTCCTGCTCGTGTAAGGATATGCGAGTCAATTCTGCCTGTCAACTGATTGGTTTCAGTAGTCAATTGCAACTGTTGGCCCATTGCTGACGTAGATGGGCTTGGGCCGACCCCCCACATAAAAAGTCTCTCTTCAAAACGGTGGTCTCTACTTGCATCCCAGGTCTTGTCTGACGATGCTCTCCAACATCGCCCTCCTCGCTCTTCCGCTCGCCGTAAAGGCAGTCATGATCGGCCCCACCGCCGACTTGGTTGGTGTTTTTCCTTGTACCGCGCTACAGATAACTCATGCGCATCCAGCACATCGTAAACGGCGTCGTCGCACCGGACGGCTTCTCGCGGAACGCTGTGCTTGCGAATGGGCTGCTGCCCGGGCCGACGCTCAAGGCCACCAAGGGCCAGACTTACAATCTGAACGTCATCGACCAGCTCACCGACGCGAGCATGCTCAAGTCCACGAGCATTCATTGGCATGGCTTCTTCCAGGACAACGGCTTCTCGTGGGCCGATGGGTAAGTTCATCTCTCCTTGCTCTACCGCCGCAGCATAGACGTTGATGATGCGCCAGCCCGTCTTTCGTCACTCAGTGCCCGATCACGACGAACCACTCCTTCTTGTACTCGTTTCCCACCGCCAATCAGGCCGGTACGTTCTTAGACCCCCCTCCTCTCACGGCCTGCGGTTGACTAACGAGCACAAGGTACCTTCTGGTACCACAGCCATCTGGCCCGCCAGTACTGCGACGGGTTGCGTGGTGTAATGGTCGTCTACGACCCGTTCGATCCCCACCGTCTGTTGTATGATGTTGACAACGACGATACTATCATCACTTTGATCGACTGGTGGGTTTTTATTTCATTCCCTGTTGCAAGAGTTTTATATTCTCGTCAAGGTATCATGATCCCGCCCCGGCGCTCGCCGTTCCTCCGGTACGTTCCGCACATCCATCACCATATCATGTGTTGAGCGGACTTTTCAGACTCTGATTTCAACCCTGATCAACGGTCTGGGGCGCTATGCCGGCGGAGTACGCTACTTTTCGTCGTTTGCGCCGGAGCTTATACTTTCTCTAGCCCACATCCCAATTAGCAGTTATCACCGTCAAGAAGAACGTGCGCTACCGCTTCCGCCTCGCCTCGCTGTCGTGCGATCCCAACTGGGTCTTCTCGATCGACAGCCACACGATGAAGGTCATCGAAGTCGACAGCGTCAAGTACGCTCCTCCCTTATTGGCAGACTTCTCCCTCACCAGATCGCAGTCACTTCCCATACACCGTCGACTCTATCCAGATCTACGCGGGTCAGCGCTACTCTTTCGTTTTGAAGGCCGACCAGCCCGTGAACAACTACTGGATCCGCGCCCAGCCAAACGCTGGCACTCTCGGCTTCGCCAACGGCATCAACAGCGCGATCCTCCGATATGTCGGCGCGCCAGTCGCTGATCCGGCCGTGCCGGCGACTCCGCCAACCAGCGTCACGCCGCTCGTGGAGCAGAACCTGCACCCGCTCAGCGTTATCCCACTAGTTCCCGGCTTGCCATTCCCCGGCGGCGCTGATGTCAAGATCAACCTCCAGATCGCGCTCGACTTCACGACCTTCCAGTTCACCGTCAACGGCGCTGTATGTTTGCGAGTATATCGTCTCCTTCGATCTAATGACACCATGACAGAGCTTCACACCCCCGACCGCACCGGTGCTTCTTCAAATCTTGAGCGGCGCACAAACCGCGACCTCCCTGCTCCCGCCAGGCTCGGTGTACGTCCTCCCGCCAAACAAGGTCGTCGAGGTGTCGATCCCCGGCGGGTCTATCGGCGCGCCGCACCCGATCCATTTGCACGGAGTGAGTAGATTTCCCGTTTTGTACAAACGATCGCCGGCTGACGCGGGATGCAGCACAACTTCCACGTGATCCGCAGTGCCGGGAGCTCGACGTACAACTTCATCAATCCTGTGAGTCGCGCTGTTTCACTGCCCGCGCCGTGACTGATTGCCCCAGCCCATTCGCGATGTCGTCAACACCGGTCTGGACGTCACGTAGGTCGCTTGTCCCCTCGTAAATGCATGCACTGACCCATCTTGCAGCGACAACGTGACGTTCCGGTTCGTTACCGACAACGCGGGCCCGTGGTTCTTGCACTGGTGAGTATCCCGCTCATTCTACCACTCCATCGCTGACCACCGTGATTTCAGCCACATCGACTTCCATCTTGACATGTGCGTTTCCTTTCTACTCCTCCACCGTCTTAACTCATGTGTGCGTGCAGTGGCCTTGCCGTCGTGTTTGCCGAAGACACCCCCCACATCACCACGACACAGCCGCCAGCGTGGAACGCCCTTTGCCCCGCGTACGACGCGCTCGCGCCCGGCGACAAGTAAACGCGGCGCTAATCGAGACGCTAAGAACTCAGCAGAAAGGGGGACGGAATGCGCATATAGTTATTTTTAATCGTGTAATAATGGGAGCCCAGTGGTATAAATGACATCCTCAACTTTGTTGCAAAGCTTTGTTTGGTGTGTCTTGACGAGGTCAGATAGTTGGCAGTGGACACGTCAACTTGGGGCATACATAATGATACATTTCATTGTTAAGTACTTACTGCCCGGCCCGGGTAAGAACTCCAAACTTGAAGTCAGCCTCGCAAATCAATCTTGGCCTAAATTTTGAATTACATCATGATTTGGGGGCCACGTCAAATGGCCGCTGCAGGGCCGCATGGCCGCGGCCACAGCCGCTGACACAGCCACTCAGATAAAACATTACCATGTGTGCGAATGATACTTCCAGTGCTCTGTTGGAGTGTTCAATAGTATATAATACAGTATAATTTACACTGTGAAATCCGAGAGTCCATGAATTATGAACTTTAAACTCCAAATCACACATTGGCAGCGGCCCAACCAAACATGTCACAACGGCCGCCAGCCGCTGGACAGCGGCCCTCAGCGGCCCAGCGGCAGTGTGCAACGGCCATACCTCAGGGCCGCTGATCGGGGCCGCTGCTGACATAAGATCTGCAGCGGCCCCTCGGCGGCCCTTCACTTGCGCTGCAGCGTGCAGCGGCTGTGCAGCGGCCTGTCACAAAGGGCCGCTGCATGTCACAGCGGCCGCATTTTACAGCGGCCCTCGTGTTTAGCAGTTCTCCAGCAACAGAGCGCTGTTTTGCGCGAGCCTCCGGCCCTCCGCGGTCAAAAGGCGGATGTTGCGTAATAGGCACATGATCAAGCACAGCCGCACGCTGCCGCACGCTGGCTTGCTTCTTGCCACGACGGACGATATTTTCGACTGCGAGGAAGCTCGTATTGCACCCAGCCTGCGGCGTCTCATCAAGGTGAGTGTTATAGCAATTCTTTTTGCCTACAAACACTGCACCCGGGCCACAGTCCCTATGGACGCAGCACTTCTGTGGCTTCTTGCAGCATCAAATGTGGCGCTACTTGGTGTATTGCTCTTTCTACACGCCGACTGGACGCTGGTTGCAACATATATTCATGCCTCTATTGTGGCTGGCCTAACTCCCATCGGCATTCTGATGATATGAGCAGAATTATACAGAATAAATATGCATAACAAGGTTGAACATTGGTCAACCATCCAAGGTAGGCTACGAGACATTGTCACGCACTGCGGCCCTCACGCGGCCCTGTTGCGGCCATGCGGTCGTTTGGCAGTGGCCCTGCAGCGGCCCTGCGGCTGTCTGACAGCGGCCCTGCAGCGGCTGCAGCGGCCATTTCACGTAGCCCATGATTTGGCATACCCTACACGAACAGCTGTACCTCCTCCCACTCTTCCTTCCGGAAATCCCTTTTTTCCATCAGATGCCGCACCTCGATATGGGGCACGATCGCCTTCCTTGTCCACAGTTCTACGACCTCAGGATTCTGCTCTGCGCAGCGGCGGCATCGGAGCGTTGCAGCATGCACCCCCTCAGTAATCTGTGCGCGCTGGCGGCCAGGTGGGTCGGGGAGAGCAATGGGGACCATGTGCGCACCCTCCACTGGATTCGAAAGGCCGTGACTGTTGCGTCGGTTCAGGCCGGCAGAAAATGACATCAACGGGAACGACACACCTGTGGAGCATATGCTCCAAGATGACATCGCCGTAGCTCAGCCATGCCGGATCGCGGTACGTATTGCATAGCAAGCACGTCCAGATTGGTGCCGGTCCCTGATCATACGACTCACTCCCCTCGCGGCGGCGCGCATCGGCCAAGCATCGGCCGCAGTTGGGGCACTCAGCCGGCGCCATGCCGGGTGCCAACTAGCGTCAGGGTGTTGGGCCAGATCATGGTCAATCTATCATTACATTCATCATGATCACCACGGGTGGAAGACCATTCGACGCACGCATTCACGCCATGTCAGGGCGGACCAGCAGTTTGTCGGACAGTTCCCGCAGACAAACCGCTCATCGCGCGCCGCCTCTGCCATCTCCCTAATCAGAACCTCGGTTGGCCGCTTGAACCCAAGGAGCGTTGCTAAATACTCCGCTGTCGTGCGTCCCACAAGGGAGATCTTTATCCAGTCGTCCCCAGCGTATGGATCCTCGAAATCGATGGTGCTCCATTGGCGACGCGGGATTCCACGATACCAATGTAATGCCGTCTTCATTTCCTCCCAGCCCAGCTGCCTCATAGGCTATGTTGCCATTGCTCTGCGCGATCGTGAAGACACTGCTGATGCGTTCCACGAAATCTACTGATGGCGTGTCCTTGGGCTGCAACTGATTAGCCAAGCGCTCTTGCAGCTTCTCCCATAGCTCTGCGGCGAATTCCCCCGCAGCAGTGCCCTCAAAGATCTTGCGTAACCTGGGATCGTCTGGCTGAAGCGGGTCCTGCGAGGGATCATTGCGGAGCGCAACAGATGGAGGGTATCTCGTGGCGAAAGTGTATGGTGGTGGAAGAGCTCTTATGACACCTCCTCTCTCAGGGGTGGTCGTGCGCAGGGCAAGAAAGCTTGCTGACTGGATGACGGCCAGACGGCGGGCCAGCAATTCTTCCTGTTCACGCGCTAGCCGCTCAGCTTGCACGCGGAGGGCGGTTGGGATAATGTGTGAACGTAGGAGGTGCCATACTGCTGCTCGATCAGAGATGCGAAGAGGATAGGTCGCTTTGCAGTGGACTCACGGGTTGAGTCCAACCGCGGCTTGCGGTCGAACCTGTACTTGATCAGGCATTCTTGGACGCACTCAGAAACCACCAAGTGATGCGCGTCCTGGTAGGAAAACCCCTCCTTCATCAGTCGTTTCGGGATCCTGGCATCAATTACAGCGGTGCGATGTGCAAGGAGCAGGGGACGGCATACGCTTCCGTGATACGCGAGTTATGTCTCGCTCGCTGCGAGTGGTGCCGGTCTCTCAGATTTTCTTCCCATTCCTGGCAATCTTCCGCCTGTGACTATATTTCAAGCAGAATTATGGCCACTCATGTCCACTCACAGCCTTAATTGTCTCCCTCATGCGTATCATGCCAGTTGTCAATTCATCCTGGTGGCCCAGTCGACAAAGAAGGCAGAGGCGCTGCAATCGGGTATAATCTGCATTCACAATGACGCCCGTGCAACCACACATCTTTTCTGACTTCAGCTTAATGGCAGGTTGAGAAGGGGGTCACACACCTCACAAACGGGACGCCCAAACAAGAGCGCCGCCCATCGTCGTGCCGGGAAACGATCTGGGCATTTCGGCAGATTCGACACCGTGTCAATGAAAAACGAGTGACGCCACATTGAGTCCGCGATGGGGGCAAACAGGAGCGTGCGGAGGCGCTTGCACGTGCGGGAAACGTGTAGCAGCTCTAGCGGGTGGAGGTATTCGAGTATTGCAAGGAGGACATCTGGTTGCAGAGTAGGAAGGAGGCTCAGGTCGCAGGGCGTGTAGGCGGGCCTCACACGGCGCAGTGCAGACCACTCCTCTACAGTATTTGGATTCACTAATCAAGTTAGCGGGTACACTGCAGGAGCAAAAGAGGAGCTACGCAGCGAAAGGTCCCGGGGTAGTATCATCTCTGGCTCCTCGTCAGCAAAGGGGAGGCAGCGAACTTCACACTCCAAAGCCATCGATATTGTGCCAGCGGAGGTCAGGCGAGGAAGGTGAAAACGTTGAGAACTTGTCGAGTGGTGTGAATATAAGTGAAGCATCGTCCCGCGTCAGCGCTGAGCTTCACGTCGACATGGAGGTTGTTGGCAAGCGATTGGCAGCTGGACAGCTTGACAGCTGTCACCGTCACGTCACCGTCACTGTCACGGCGGCTAAGAGGCTTCTCTAAGCCATGATCGAAGGTAAGCCGACAAGCGGCGTAGCACAAACTGATTATAGACCCGAGGTCAGTCTGGGAGGCTTTGGAGAGTAAACTCAAGGATGCTAGCCCACTTGCTTACATACTAATTAATTTGTTAATCCCTATTATCTCCACATATTAGAAGGGTTGGCCCATGTGGGCAACCCTTCTAACATGAAGAGATATGTCTGAGGAGCCTACTCTGTGATAATTCTACAAATAATTCTGCAATAATCTCAATAATTCTGAGACTTAGAACTTTTTTCAGAGTTTTGCTACATACCCCGGGATGGATCAACACAATCTGATGATATCAGTGATCCTTCCACATATGGTAATTTTAATAGCTAGGGGCATCTTCATTAACTGGATAGCTTGTGAACAAGGGGTCTCCGGCGTGACCGCCGTAGCCGAAGACCTTGCTTTGCATACAGAATGCATGACTTCCCATAAGATAAACAGGCATATACGACATTTTCTTTTTAAAAAAAGATCCCTTGTAATTAGTATATTAACATTTTTAAAAAACAACAGTGATTTACAAGTTTTCCCCTCATTTTAATAAAATCCATGCTGTCAAACTCTGTATCTTTCTTGGCACCTTGGCATCAACATTTCTGGGTGTTTCCCCCAGCTCCAGAACGGAGGTACTGTAGTATTTCAATCAGTTAGTCCTGTCACGGTCACATTGACTTTTTTGGCCGAAAATTTTCTGCCTGTCACAGGTCACAGCAAGTTTCTTCGGTCCCAAACCGTCCCAAAATGGTAATTTCTGAAAATTTTCGCGCCTACGGCGCGCATAACTTCTATATAAGGCAGGAGGTCACACCAAATTCAGCCTTTGGCTGAATTGCACATTTCTGCCACATGTGTCACAGGTCACAGGCCCGCAGAATTGAATGAAATAGTACAGTAATCGACATCGATGACGATGACATTGAAGACGCGAATACCTTCACGCCGCCTGCTGTTGGTCCAAAAAAGTTCCATGCGCACCACAACGATGTTATCGAGATCAGCGACTCCGAAGACGACAGTGACACAAAGCCCCCGCTTCGCAAACGGCCACGACTGCTCCCATTGCACATTGATTCGTTCTCC